TTCTGCTGGGGAAGGGGTTAAGAGGTTTTATTCCCTCCCTAACTTCAGGGGAAAATCCCTACCTGGGGAAACAACCTTTCTCGGAGAGGTGACCTTGGTTAAAACACAGCGCCAAGAAGGTGAGAAAACATATTAAGAACAGTATGCCATATATGCCAGGTCCCTTGAAACAGCAAGGATGGACCGGCTCCCGGCATCACCTATGGAAATACCGATTCTCAAACTCAGTAAGCCTATTGGAGTGACACATTTCTAATCTACGTTCATAACAGAGAGGCCGCGCAGACAAGGGAGGGTCTTAACGCAGGCGAGGCGAGGGGATGGCCATCCAGCTGGAAGGGGCGTGCCTGGGCCGGCTCCCAGCGGCCGAGTGAACCAGACTCGGGGGGGAGAAAAGCCTTCCTACTTCTGAGGGGAAATAGTTGTCAACCTAGAATTACACTGAGAAAATGTCTGAAAAATGAGGACTTAAAAAGAGTTGAATAAAGATACTTTCAAAAAAATGAGCTTGTCACCAATGGATCCTCATTTAAGTTAATTCAAAAAGATTTCCTACAGACAAAAGAAAAGAAGCCCCGAAGGAAGATGTGAGATGCAGAAGGAACAGTGAGCAAAGGGAGCAGCCGCTGTGGATGTGGGTCAGGCCCGCGATGCCCGTGGGGTGCGCTCCGTGGAGGCAGCCACTGCCATGCTGCGGGGCCGGCGGCGGGACGGGGCTTGGAAGTGGGGCCGAAGACGGGGTGGAATCTGCTTGGACGAGGGCTTGCTTCTTGTGGACGAGCGGAGAAAAGGGTTTCCTGAGGGGGGATCCGCTCCTGGCGAAGACGGGGTGCAGACGGGAAACAAGGACTGAGACGCGAGGCTCAAGGGGAGCAGCAGCGCGGGGGCCTGGGTGGCAGGGGCGCTGCTGTGGGAGATGCTGGCCAACAGCGTCCGCTGTGCCCCACACGCCTAGAATTATCCTGAGAGAAAGGGCTTTCAAAAACGAGGACTTAAAAAGAAGAGTTGAATAAAAATACCTCGGCAGCCGCCACCCTGATCGTCCGCAGCCGCCACGCGATCGGACCCTCCTCCAGCAAAGAGAGTGCCATTCGATGGAGGCCCGCGTGGTGTCAGCGCTTTTCAGCAATAAAGTATTTTTCATTAAAGTATGTTGGCTGTTTTCTCCGACACGATGCTGTCGCACACGTAACAGAATACGGAGTGTAAACAGCTTTTATACGCACCGGGAGACGGACACTCCTGGGACTCCCTTTTTGTGACACCCACTTAGTTGCGGCAGCTGGACCCAGCCCGGGATCTCTGATGCACACCCAGAGCGCAAACCTTACGCAAAACGATGACTTAGACCTTATTGGAATTTTAGAAAGCCGAACCACAAACTGTGATGAGGTCGTGGCAGCCCGTATGCCGACAGTGTTCGTGGGGCGGGGCGGGTGGGTTGTTTAAAGCAACAGGAAGAGCCAGCCCAGCAGAAAAGCGGGCGGAGCAGAAGAAAACTCCTGTGAGAGGAAGCCGAGGTGGACAGGGTGCTCGCCTGGTTAGCAATGGAAAGGGGGCAGTGGAAGCCCCGGGAGACACAATGCTGCATCTACCCAGTTGGCAAAGGTGATTGAGTCTGACAAAGTGAGGCTCTGGGCGACAGAAACTCTTAGAGAAACTCAGGGACATGGACAACCGGTGTGCTTGCCTGGGACGGACATGGACAACGGGTGTGCTGGCCTGGGACGGACGTGGACAACGGTTGTGCTGGCCTGGGACGGACATGGACAACGGGTGTGCTGGCCTGGGACGGACATGGACAACAGGAGTGCTGGCCTGGGACGGACATGGACAACGGGTGTGCTGGCCTGGGACGGACATGGACAACAGGAGTACTTGCCTGGGGAAGGGGGAGGAGGGGCAGAGGGTCCAGGGGGATAAATGGTGATGGACCCGGACTTCACTTGGGGTGGCGATCTCACAATATAGTGTCAGGTGATGTGTTCTGAAACGTGCACCTGAAACTTGTGTAATTTTGTTAGCCAGGGTCACCCCAATACATTCCATTAAAATAATTAAATGCATCACTTTTTAAAAGAAACTCTTATAAGCTGATGGTAGGAGTGTCACTGATGCCATCACTTTGGGACTCTGTGTCCAGTGGACTCCATGGAAGGAAACCTCCTGTGTGTGCCCGAGACGGCAGTCCCTGGACGGGCAGGAAAAGGAGAAGTAGCCCGGCTGGAGAGCTGGATCGTGTAATAGCCACACGGCGTGGACACGACACCCACAGGGACACTCTGAACAAAGGAGCCCCAGGCACAGGTCGGGGGGAGCCAGTCAGAGAGGAACATGCTTAAGTTCACAATAAGCAGCAGACACGGGTGAAAAGTCCAGAAAAAGAACCGATCTACCCAGAATTCAGGGGGGAGGGAGTGGGGCCACAGGGCTTGTAGTGGTCGGCAAACTCATTAATCATCAGAGCCAAATATCAACAGTACAATGATTGAAATTTCTTTTGAGACCCAAATTTTTTAAACTTAAACTATATAGGTAGGTACATTGATATTAACTTGATTAGGGTCCTCCTAAGGCTTAGGAAGAGCCACACTCAAGGGGCCAAAGAGCCGCATGTGGCTGGCGAGCCGCAGTTTGCTGACCATGGGTAGGGTATCAAATGTGATTGCTTTTTTATTATTGAATTAATTGAGATGAAGTACAAATGTAATTATGTTTCATTTCTTTTTCAGAGTATGGGTATCATGGGCATTTGTTGTCTTATTCTTTGTAACCAACACATATTTTATAAGTCCTCCTCGGTATCTAATATTTCATTAAATGCAAGTATAAATTATATATTTGAATTACAAATTAACAAGAAAAATTCTCTAACTATCAAGAGGAAGTCATGGTGTCCTTGGCTGGGTGGCTTAGCTGGCGGGAGCGTCATCCTGTGCACCAAGAAGGGTGTAGGGTTGCTCCCCGGGTGGGACGCGTATAGGAGGCAACTGATGGATGCTCCTTTCACATTGGTGGTTCTCTCTCACTCTCCCTCTCAAATTAATAAAGACAGGTCCTCAGGTAAGGATTTAAAAATGAGAGAGAGAGAGAAAGAGAGAGAGAGAGAGAGAGAGAGAGAGAGAGATTCATCGTGAGTTGGCCAGGGACATCCTCCCAGGAGCACGATACGTATTGAACTGAGTGGTGTTTTATACACATGCAAGCAAATGCACATTTGTTTTTTCTAACAACACGACTTTGCTGTATCTCAGCAGAGTGGGCCTTGGTTACTTGTGTTGCTGGGTTGTTGTAGGAGCTAAGGTGGCCTCTTCAAATGGGGCTCCTCCAGGTGGGGTGGCTCTGCATGGAGACTGCTGTCTGCTATGACCTCCTTTTGATGGTCAGAGGGCACGGCACTCAGGGATACGGTGGTCAGAGGGGCGAGCCAGGTGCTGGGTCTGCGGGGTGAGCCGGGTGCTGGGTCATGGTGTGAGCCGGGTGCTGGGTCATGGTGTGAGCCAGGTGCTGGGTCATGGTGTGAGCCGGGTGCTGGGTCATGGTGTGAGCCGGGTTCTGGGTCATGGTGTGATCCTGGGGACCTGGTTTCTGGGCCCACACTCACTGCTGCAGAACTCCCCATCCTCTTGCCGATGTGGGGGCCTCGTTCTCGGAAAGCCCTCCTCATCCTGTGTCAGAGGCAAACTAGGGAGGATCTGCCAAAGCTGAATTACGAGAGGAGAGGGGAGCACCCGCCGCCCCCAGGAGGGCCGGTCATTGGGCCTTGTTCCCAGTGAGATGTCACGAGGACTGTCATTTTGTTCTAAAATAAGACCTCGCTGTTGGCAGCCACATCCCATCGTTTCTCCCAGCAGGTCTGTGGGTCTCCCGGGACAGCACCTTCTGCCTGTGGGGAAGGGGGCGGTCCTCAGGTCTCCCTCTTGTGGCCTGTGCCCAGCGTGGCGCCGGGACTGGGCAGCAGGGAGGGCACGCCGTGTCCAGCAGAGGACAGGCCCGAGCTAACCCTGTGCTTCTGCTTCCTCACAGTCAGCAACAAGGACAGACTGGAAAGATCGTCGGGACTGAGGATTCTTCAGGCCGGAGCGGGGTCGGTGAGTGGCGGGGGCTGCCCTGAGATGCGTCGGTGCGCGGCGTGCTGTCGGCGTGGAGGCCTGTGCCGGGGGTCCAGTAACGTCGCGTGGCTGGGGCGGCTGACTGGCTGGTGCCAGGTTAGCAGTCCGATGGTTGAGATGCTGGTGCCGGTGCCGGCTAATGTGACTGTTGCTGGTGGCCTTTGAGGAAGCAGTTGTGAGTAAGAAAAACAGTGAAACCGTCAGAACACACATGCTTCCTTGTTTCCGTTCATTGTGCACTAGTGGGCCGGGGAGTTCCCTTCCCTCGGGGCTGGGGGGGGGGGGGGATGTATCTCAGCTGTTCTGGGACGTGTCTGTGGGGAGGCGCTACAGGGCCGGCGCTTCCACAGTTGGATGTGAGTCCCGGCAGCTCCGGTCAGGCGCGCTCCGTTGGTTCGGAAGGAGGCACTTGACCTGACACTCGGTCAGCAAGTGCAGCTGACAACGCCCGAGGCCTGCGGGCGTCCAGGTCTCCAGGCAACTGAACTAACTGCAGGCGGAACAGCGCTGCTCCCTCTTAGAAGGGGTGTGGCCACTCTGAGTCCGCGTGGACCAAACCAGCCTTTGCTGTCGCTGTAGAAACTAGATTTCATGGCTCGCCGTCTCCGACAATTGACCATTGGGCAGCCATAAGGGCTCCTGCTGATGGCTGAGACCCGCCGCTTTCTTGGGGGAAATCTCCCCGCAGCCACAAGTCCTGCTCCCACACGAGAGCCTGTGTAACTGGCCGTTTTCACGACCAGCAGCTCCGCCCTAACGGGGAGCAGGCGTGCAGAGGCGGCTCTCCAGCAAGCGCAGCGCCTGCGGCTTGTGCTCCTGTGACAACGCAGGACGCATGCGGGAACTGACAGAACCCATCAGAGGAGGTGGGAGGGATGGGGTCCCAGGACCGCTGGTGCCCACGGAAGGGCTGTTTCTGCAGCACGGATATTTCTGGTGTCCAGGGCAGGCTAGGAGTGTGTCTGGATGTGAGGCTGGCCCTGCCGGGGAAGGGCAGGACTGGCAGTGGGTAGAGAGGAACCCATCTGGCAGCTGAACCGGGAGGGCCTCTTCCGGCTCTCCTGCTTCTCAGGGGCTCAAGCAGTGGTTCTCAACCTTCCTAATGCCGCGACCCTTTAATACAGTTCCTCATGTTGTGGTGACCCCCAATGTCATTGTTACAAATTGAACATAATTAAAGCATAGTGATTAATCACAAAAACAATATGTAATTATATATGTGTTTTCCATTGGTCTTGGGCGACCTTTGTGAAAGGGTCGCGATCCACAGGTTGAGAACCGCTGCCCTAAAATGACCAATCTGTGCTCACACGCTACCCGCAGGTCTGTGTGAATTTGTCATGCGATGTGCGTGGCGGTGGGCAGTGTGACTTCGTGCCACGGGCACCATGGGAATGAGGGGGCGGGGGCGGATCCTAGTGGATGCCTGGACACAACTCCGTTTCCCGCCAGGCCCACGCGGTCCTCTCCTGTCGGTGGGAAGATGCCGAGCGTGTGCATGGCTGCTGTCAGAACCGGAATCCGGGATTTAGCGCTTTGCCGACAAGAACGGGTTTCACGCAGGGTGGGCCCGGTTGGTACGCAGGGAGTGTGGGCAGCGATGGCCCCCTGACCGGGACTCCCGCAAAGTTGGCTGAGACAGGTAGCCCTGCTCAAATGGTGCTGGTGGCCTGCGCCCTGCCCGAGCCCCCGGGCCCCCATGGGGACAGCCGGGATTTCTGCAATGAAGACCTGCTTTTAACCAGCGGCCGGCGGCAGCCTCCACAGCTTTAAAAACACGTCTCGCCCTCCCACTCAATGCCACACGCCCGGAAGTCTATCTCAAGGTTCACCAGGCAAGAGAATGGGAAAACCGCAGCTCTGGGAAAAGCCCAAACGGATCTACATGAGAAAGCATAGTAAGGTAACTAATCACATTGTATTAGCCAAATAAACGGAATTCAATGATTCTGGTAAAAGTCAGATGAGGCCCTGGCCGGGGCACATTCCAGGTGGCAGGTTCAGTCCCCTGTCAGGTGTGTGCAATGTTTCTCTCCCACACTGATGTTTCTCTCTCTCCCTTCTCCTCTCTAAAATCAATAAAACAATAAACTATAAAGAAAGACATCTGAGAACCATAAAGGCAAAGGCAGCCACGGAAACTGTCCACAGCAATGAGGCTCAGACACCTCGCCCAGACCTGAGGCCG